GAAATATAGGATTATTCTGTCTGAAAATAATTCTCAGCATGAATTTACAACACAATTGTGTCACGGCCTAAGAAAAAACGTCGATAATTTCGTATTTTCTTGATGTCCATTTTGCACTGATGTCAAATAAGGTATAACTTCATAGCGCCACGTCAATGGGGAAAAAAGCGCAGTAGAATTACTTTTAGTAAGTAAAAATAGATGTATACACACAAAATCATAATGAAGAAAAAATTATAAAGTAAAACATGCAAAAATGAACAAATATGGTTGAGCCGGCTAAGATGTGGAAAGTTCGCGATATAAGGTTATCGATTTTTTTGCAGGCGATTTTTGGGGTTTGCACGTTTGCAAATGTGCAACTCGTAATCGTCACTTTTTAAAATCAAGATCCTTTAGCTGGGAAATTCTACAAACAGGAGTTTTATTCAGGACCTAGAAGTTTTAGAGACGTAAACTAGTAAACAAAGGGTTGATGTAAATCGTTTATAACGGAATTCCCTGCTTTAGGCATTATGCCAGGTTATACGACCAAAATATGTCAATTACATTTTTTCTTGAATGACATTCGCACATTAGTTGGAGCGTGCCATAACTCAAGTTAAAAAATAGCAAAACCTATAATTGACCTGATGTACCAACATTAATCACAGCAGAAGGTAGAAAAGTGCGAAAAATGTGTCACTAAATGCTAGCCAGAGCCAAATGTTTTTTAAAAATCACGTAGATGAAAAAAAAGAGCATAGAAAAGAAATTTTCTTATTGGACGGAGTCCTAGGAAACAACTTGCCATCGTGTTTACTTTCGAGTATTGTTTACATGCAAATTGTATTAGTAAAGCGCATTTGAAAGAATCCATATTGTCTCTTTGTTCTCTTTTCTTAATTTCTTAATCTTTTCAAAACATAAACATAACATTTGCAGAGTATATTACTCGAATGAATCATTAGAAGTACCACTTTTTTGCAAATCTGCTTTTTTTTAGCTGACCCTCATTACACCGAAAGTGTTTGTAAACCAGTTTTGATTTTTAAATATTCAAATCCAAAATATGTAATTATTTGTACATATGCGCCAATGTTTGAATCTTATTCGGACAGAGATTTACTGCCCTCATCTTCTCTCCCCAACAAAACCAACAGAGAATTCCATTTGAGCGCAAAAGCCTTGATTTCTCTTGGTCTAGCAGTTTAAGAAGCATGCTCGTGTCTAACGGTACACCAGCTTATAATTAGCTGAAAAAAAAGTTCGGGAATGATTTTATTTGGTTGAATCGAAAAGACGATGGTGAAAGCAAGCTTTAAGTCACATTTGATGGTTTGTAGTAACAAAGTTTCAGTCTCTCACGTGAATTTATTCTCTCAGAAGGATCCCACAAGCCATCGGCTAGGCAACAAGTACATCACTTACGTAGATTATACCCATATTTTGAAATATGTATTGACTTTACTTCATGCTTGAATGCACTTCAAAAACGCTTACTTCTTGTAGAAAAAATTCTGAGAAGAAAGAGCTTTCAAAGAGATCGCTACAGCAACAGCTTTAGGAATATGAGGAATATAGCTTGAAATTCGAAGTGAGCATCTTTTAGGAGGTTTGACAACCATATATTCAATTATTTTATACCAATTTCCAGTTTTCAGTCTTTATATTCAACTTGTCCAGAGATTGAATGAAGTTTCAGCAGAGAGCAAGGCTGCTCTGGCCACTTACACTTGCTAACCTATGAATAATCCTTTTTTCTTTATTATTCAATACATAACCGACGTATTCTTGAGGTGTGTGTATATGAGTAGTATATAGTAGAAATTATCTGATTTGGAAAACACACCATTGATGCAATCCCATCGAAATCTAACTATAAATAGTAAAAGGATTTTCAAGGAATAGTTGATCATTGAATAGATCCATATATTTCTTTCTCCTGTTTCCAAGATAAGACTTTTTTGAGACCCCACAGATCGCAGGAAATTCTCTTGGAAGACGCTGGAAGAATTTGACCGAAAGGGTGATGTGGTTGGCGTGGGTTTGGGCGAAACCACGCCAGCCCTTTTTGGCCAGAGCTGTGCAGGTGATTAATTCGAAAAAATTTTGATGATAAATTATTAATGCCTACTGAGTCATTCAGTAGGCATTAATAATTTATCATCAGAATTTCCTCTTCTTTATCCGATTTTCTTTTCATTTTTAAGAATGACGAAAACAATTGTGGAAAGGGGGTGAGGCGAGGAGGAAAGCCTGACGCTACTGCCCAAACTGGAAGAACCTTCTGTGCACGAATAGGCCATCAGCATTTTTCATTTTTCTAAAAAAAATTAAAAACCCTATGAGGAATTCTGCTTGAAAATTCGGTTTAACAACAACCAAAAAAAGTTATCAAAAAGTGTACGCGTAACACTGATATCACATTTTTTCTTATAAGTTCACAAGAAAAATTTTTCACGACTTGATGACCCATGGACATTTTTCTGATTGATAATAATTCGAAATAGCATTAAGTAGCCTTAAATTATTCTATTACTTTGTTCGGTTTTGAATTTTAATTTTGAGATTTCGCAATGTCAGGGAGGGAGTGGGGGAAGGTGCAACTCGGGGAGAGTTTGCGTTTGCCGCTGCCGAATTATTATTTGATCACTGTTCTAATTGCTATAGTAACGACGACCTTTAACACAGTAGTAAATCTATGTATGGCAAAGAAACAACTTCTGTGTGCTCAGAAATCTATTGACGCATAGATTAAGTTTTGTCTTGACATTCAGCCCAAAAACACAATAATGAAAGGCAAAATTTTTTGTTAGAAGAGTAGAGGATAGCACTGCTAAAATCACGTAATTCCTTTTTTCCCATGCAGTCTCTCAAATGTTTTCTTTACGTCTTGATAATTCCTTACATTCTTTTCTAAAAGAAATAAATTTAAACACTTTGTTTATCCGCATTCAAACCGCTATCCCAGAAGCCGCATGCTCACATTATATGAAATCGACCTCGTTTTACTTGCACCATGTTCTTTCTCCTTTCTTTTCATCCTTTCGAAGGAAAAGATGACTCAGTAAAAACAAGTCTTAAGAACTCATCCGTATCCAACAATTAACATCGCTAGTAATCACCAAACAAAACTACCTGTTCATCTTTTCTTCCTTGTCAATTTTCACTAGACCAGTAAGTTAGAACTTGGATTTGCTCCTTATCAAGTCAATCAGTATAAACTTCCTAAATTAGCTTTTCTTGCTAACAAATAGAAGCTCCACTACTTATCCAAAACTGAAAGCATTAAAACGGCTATAGTTACTCGTCATTGCTTTTTGAAGATATACGCAATTAAATTAAAAAAGGTAGTATATTTGAACGTGGAGGCCATTTGAGTTGTTATTACTGTAACTTTAAAAAAGTGACTTTCTACCTTTCCTACCTGCTAAACGATGTTCTGGAAAGAGATAAGATCGTTCTTTTCCTGCCTTTATTCATGCAAGATCACCTTCCCAAGACGAACCAAGCAAAGTGCTTGTCTTTCCTGGTTCCGTTTGGAATCTCAATCCAGAAGGTTTCCGCTCGATTTTTGAAAGCACATTCCAGCAGAGGCAATAACTGTTCTAAATATAAATAAAAAGCATGATGAAAAAGGTTACATAAGATGTAAAATCGATAAGACCATTTGCTTCCACATTTCCTATTCATTAGCTAAATGTAACTAGGTATGAGGAGTCTAATCTTTCTCGCTATATGCATAGCAGCATCTGAAACGTGCCCGTGTATCAAAGACGGGAACTTAGAGGAAAAGTTCTGCTCATCTGATTTTGGTAAGTTTAAGGTGGGATTTTCAAATCAAGAATTCTTATCAATAGCTGAAGAACAAGGAGTAAAATTTTAAAATATGCGAAAAAACATATTTAACACCACCAACTTGCTACTTTCTCATCTTTATAACTTATTTTCAGTTTCTCATGCTAAAGTCCTCTCAAGGAGTCCAAACCTTCGCGATCCGGAGCGTGAACAAAAGGTTGTCTTTGTAGTGGACCATCTCAAAGTTTACAATGTATGTAGGATGTTATACCTTACCTACCACGGAGATGAACCTTAAAGAGGTTTTTTTCAGAAACGAAATTTGATGAAGTTGCCTCGTCGAGTCCTCACGGCTGCAGAAGAAGACTGGTGTGGAGTAGATCTCCAAATTGGACAGGAATACGTTCTTGGATGTCAGTTTTCTTAGTTTCAAAATTTAATTCGCGACTTTTTCTCAAAGAACAAAAATTGATAATTTTAGACAGCGCTAATTTAAGAGGTGATTTATATATTTCCTTATGCGGTTTGGTCGAGAAATGGAGCAACAAATTAGAGCAGAAAGTGACGAGTTACAACTGCAGTCAAAGCAACCCTAATTCTTGAATGATATTGCTTATACTCAATGGGTATCGTAATCCTATTCTTACTTACTTCACTCATTCCACCAATTCCCAGCGCCTTACAGCAATTGTGTGAAAAGTCAATAAATAATTAGGACAAATCAATACATCTTTGAATGTTACCGTGTTTGTAATAAGCATATTTACTTACCCCAATTACGAACTCACAACTATCTAGATTGAAAACGCAAAAAATTAACAATAGATAAAAGCCTATATATTTTGGATAAAGTGGCATAGGTTACTGGCTGTGCCCGAAGGTGCATGTGTGTGAAGTTTGGTCCAAATCACATAAACAGCAATTCGTTTTCGAATACACATACACATACACACACTGACGTTGTGCTTTATATACATAGATTGACGCCGGCGACGAAAATTAGAAAACATCAGTAGATCTGGAAGTTATCTTATCAGCAAAACCTATTAGAATAGCGTGCAATTACGGTTGTAGCATTCTTGCTAGTTCATCATAAAACGAAACTCCACAAATATTATTCCCAGGATTTTGATATGCAAATCAATAAAATTTAAGCTTCAGGGTGATAGAGGAAGCTGTTAGCTGGTGTTGAAAATTTTTTGAATCATATTAAAATCAAACCATCTATGCACACAGGTTGAACTAATTTTTTTAGCAGTTGTAGATACCAAAGCCCTCTTCGGAGCC